ATATATATATATATATATATTAAATACTAATAATAATTAAATATAATATATTTTTAAAATTGATTTGATGTTTTCTAAATTTTAAACTCAACACAATTTCCAACACAATCAATACACCCCTATAAGGGGTGCCATTAGCACCCCCCTTTCTTTATATTATTTGTGACAATCTTTATTTATTGTTGAGTAAACTACAATTTTGGTCCCTATAATTTGAGAAATATTGTAATTTTTGTACTTTTGATTTTAAAATTATGATTTTGGTTCCTATACTTTTATAATTTGTTGGTGTTTTTGTCCCTAAAATTACATATATTAAGACCATTTTCAATCTTAACATTAAAAAGAACACCAAAAATAACAAATCTGGTGGGTCAATTAACAAAAAAACTCAACTCCAACCGTACTTAAAAAACATCAGATTTGTGGACCTCACATTATTTACTTTTTTTAATAACAATAATTGTAATTGGGTTTGAGGGGTGAAACTGACATATCCTTGGATTTGTCGAATGATTAGAGATGCTTTAAAAACCATCCACTAATTTATGGGTGTTTTAGTCTCTTGATTTATTTTTAGTTTATTAAATACATTTTTTAGTATTTTAATCTTTTTGATAAAAAAAAATTATATTATTTGTATATTATTTATGAAAAAATATTTAAATATTTTTAATACAATTAGTTTTTTTTATTTGGTCCTTATAATTTTAGTTTTTTGTGTGTTCGATTTATGCCACTAAAATCGTTCAAATGCAAGGCAAAAAGCGTCATATAAAAATGTAATTTTTCAGAAATGTCATAAAAAACTTATTGTAAAAATTTTCTTTTGAAAATGTCATATCCGAAAAAGACATCATATAATCATGATCCAAAATATGAAGAAGAAAAAAAACAAACTGTATGAAAATATTTAATCATTTTATTATAAAGAATAACAAAATGATACAAGTTTTTCATATATTAATTCTTTATCAAAAATGTATTGTTTTATTAAATCAAAAAGAATAAAGTACCAAACAAAAGAAGGACAAAACCTAAATCAATGGAAAACAATATCCCAAATCTGAAGAAGGGTTTACCACACGTAATTATAAGTTTTATAGAGTATTTTGCTATATCAGTAGAGTTCAACGTTTATATTATATTGAACATGTTTATCAGTTAATTATAAGTTAGTTTTATAAAACTCAAACGTATTATATAAATAATAAGTATAAATATTCTATAATATATTATTATATGAATAAACATCAAACATCTACTCCAAATTCCCTCAGGGCACATCTCCAACCCAATTAACGTTAATCCTCTCAATTTACTATTTCATTATTTTAAAATCTTAAATGTTTTATTTTAATCAATTTTAGTATTTAAAACATAGCACAACTAATCCATTCACTTCCTATCGAGGCTCTAACGTCGTTATAGAGGCTTCATCGACTCCTGCTGAAAAGAGGCCGGGATTAGGCAAGTCTTCTCCAACAAAGAAAGCAGGTTGTTTTGGTGGAGGCAATGCACTGTTACCACTCAACATCCTAACCACATACGACATCGTTGGCCTATCTTGTGCAAGATTTTGCACGCATAGTAGACCAACATGTATCGTCCGTTTCACCTCTGAGACAATGCATGAGTTACGGAAAGATGGACACATGAGCTCGACGTACTTGCTTTCTGTATAGAGTCTCCATGTCTGAACGACACCGAAATCCATGATCAAAAGTACGTGAGAGAATAGGTACTTAAATTTCAGCACTGTCTCAAAATAAACACAATATTTTTCTTTTTAGGTAAAATTTCAATCTAAGTTGCTCACTAGAAAATAAGTTTTCACACACAGAAGGTTATCATCATATTAAATACGAGGTTTTATCATCAAATTCACTTACATGTCCAAGAAGGTTATCATTCACATCTTCATGGGAGAATTCTCGGTTTTTCTTCCCACTCACCATCTCCAACACCAAAACACCAAAGCTGAAGACGTCCGATTTTACAGAGAAACGGCCGTGAATTGCATACTCGGGTGAAATATAACCACTGTGACAAAACGAAAAAGTATGAATGACAAATAAGTGTCATCAATGAATCACATGGTCTATAGTTTATAAATACTTACTGTGTTCCAACCACTTTCTTTGTCTTGGCTGTCATCTGGTCTCCTCCAAACTCTCTAGCAAGCCCAAAGTCTGATATTTTTGGGTTCATGTCGTGATCCAGCAGAATATTGCTTGCCTTGAGATCTCTGTGGATGATTCGATGGCGGGAGTCTTGATGGAGATAAAGAATACCTTTAGCAATCCCGCGGATAATATCCAAGCGCAGAGGCCATTCTAACATAGAACTTTTGGTTTCATCTGCCAATGTAACATTACTATATAAATTTAGATAACAAACTATTTGTTTACATGATTTGATTTGCCAAATATCATGATTCATTTCATTCCCCCATTTCAATTCTTCTCAATGAGACCCACAATCATCGCTTTTTCTTGCATCATATAAAAACAAGATGGAAATGTATAGTGTCGATGACTAGTCATCGTTCAACACTCAACATTTTCATTTTGTTTTATACTGCGTAAGGAATGATAAAGATGTGATTGTGCATCCAAGATCGAGATGGGACCCACGAGGAAAAACGAACGTAAATGATAATACTATACAATGCACGGTAGAAGCATGATGAAAGAGTCGAACCAAATAGATGCAAGTCCAAGCTTTTGTTAGACAAGTATTCATAAATCAGGATCCTTTCATTTCCATCCATGCAGTATCCAAGAAGCTTCACCAGATTCCGATGCTGAAGTCTGGCAACACAAACAACTTCATTGTAGAACTCGCCATACCCTTGTTCAGAAGTTTCTGAAAGTTTCTTCACAGCTATTTCTTCTCCGCTTTCCAAAACTCCCTACAGAGTATGATACATTAAAAGGCGCTTAGTTCGTCTCAGAAAATGGAAATAGGAATGAAAATGATGGGGAATGAGAAAGGGTTCCATTCCCCTCAGTTTGTTGATAAATGCTTCATTATCGGGTAATGACTCATTCTATTGCATCAAACGAGACACCATAGATGTGCAAGCAATAAGTTACCTTGTAAACCGGACCGAAGCCACCTTGTCCAAGCTTATTGTCAATGGAGAAGTTATTGGTAGCCTTAACTACTTTAGATAAGCTGATAAAATTCAGCTCTATATCTTCCTTCACTACATTGGAGTCCCGTTTATCAAAGGCGTATACCCTGTGACCTACAAAGTGATATGTAGAATTATTATGCTTGTTTTACAATTTTCATTTGTCGTGACTCATTTGCCTTACCTCGTCCTTGTGTGGAAGACCTTTTCTTTTTCTTGTTACAAACATACGCAGCTAAGGACATGCCCAGCAAGACCAATGAAATGGACAAGGTGACGGTGAGTACTCGAATCTTTTTGTTGAAGCCAGATTGGGAGATCGTAAGACCATCATCTACAAAACGCAACAAGTTTAGCAAATAGTTGAAACTACAATCTGCTTCACTGACTTCAAATAATCTCATTTCTATATTTTTCCAACGCTGCAAAAACAGAATTAAAAAGATGATATATCGTTACAACAATGAAGAGATCGCAAAATCTGAGATATATAACACAATCTTGATAACCTTTAAGTAGAGAGGCAGGCATTCGTATGTAAAGATATTGACTCTCTCCGCAAACCTTGAGATCCATCAGTGCACCAAACCATAATAAGCATCCACTCCCCCCTCTCCTGACATCTATATTTGCATAAGCCGTACAAGAGCAATTTTTCCTACAGGCTATCTCACATTCACCTAGGGTCATGCTATGATCGTACCATGATTGTCGTGTGTCGGGAAATTTCATTCCTCTGATTTTCCAAAACACTTCTGGGGCCTGACAATCTAAAGGAGTTCTGAATCGGCATCCACTCGACCAATCTGCCATGCTCCATTCATCTGGGCGTTTTGGTTCAAAACCATCCATACAACTACAAGGAGGATTTTTGTTGATGTCACAACTGCCATAAGGACCACAGATTCCATAGCGACCACAAGTATCTACTGGACCAGTTGCATACACAAACCAATCCTGGCTCCGATTGTTCCAGTGCATCATTTCAATGATGCCATCCCACGTCAAATGTACCATCTGAACAACTGAAGAACTCGTGAGATCGTATTTATAATATATTTCCTTTTGGTTAATAGCATAGTCAATGGAGTAAATTGGATTTGGTATCTCATCAGGCAGACCACTAAACCTCATCCCATTCCATGGTCCAACCCTTAGGCGTACGACTAAACCTTGCCTCAATAGCATTTGCGGATATCCATTTGTATCCACATAATTTACATACTGACCTACCGAAGGATCATTGGTACTCTTCCATGATGTCAAGTTCCTGTTAACACCTGCTACGAAGTCCTTACCAAATTTCATTCCGGGTAGCCACGTGTCACCAGGATAATCAAAACTTTGCCAAATGAGATCGGTCTGATCAGTACTGTTTCCATCCTTGACAACAAAATTTCCAGTATCTAAAAGTTGTGCCACTGGATTAATATACCTGACAAATGTCGAACAAGTGGATGACCAGATTACGGTATCATCGCAGTAGGAAAGCAGCAGGAGTCCCTCACTACTGACTTTGAAGGTGCCTGATGTATCTGATATCGGCAAGTCTCTGTTAGCAACCCATACCACTGTACCCATTGCTGTCTTCTTGAACCATATCCCCAAATAACGATTATTGGAGTTAGCAGGGCTAAAGAATCCCATTTCATACATTTCTCCAGCTGAAACAATGGTTTCACCATCTTTGATTACTTGATTAGCAGCTATATTGTCTACTGCAACAGAAGGTGAAAAGAGCAGCAAGAATAAAGCCGTTGAAATCAATAGACTTGTGAAAAGGTCTTCCATTGACAAAATTAGTATTTTATAAACAGACTTATTGCACCAGTGATAGTAAAAGCAGTGACTGAATCATTAAGAAGACATACACTACTGCTAATTATACAACTTACTTGTGACTGTAACATGAAACCCAAGATTTAAGGTCATCTAGAGCAACACCAATCACACGCCAAAACCTAATTTTTTCTTCATATCCTCAAAAAGTTTTGCCCGTCAAACAAGGGAGAAAGAAAAAGCTTCAAATATGATGATTTCATGTTCATACGGAAAAATCATGGAGTATTTCTTACGTTTTAGATTTTTTCTTTTAAAATTATTACTTTTTTAAAAATTTATTTTGAATTCAATTATACTTAAAATTATATTAAAAATAAAAAAGTCAAGGACAAAATGCACAAAATAACAATATATTTTCGTAAATTTCTTTATTATAGCATTGTACTTCCATTTTTCTTATTACAACAATGTACTTTCAAACTATTTTTTATTAGGACATTGTACTTTGAAAAATCTACCCATTAGAACATTGGGTAACCTTTTGATTTAAATTTACATATTATACCAAATTTTCATATCACCTCATTGTTCACGTAAGTTATCTACATGCACTATAGTGATGTGACTTTCTTACTACATCATTGTACTTTCAAAATTATTTTATTATAACATATACTAGTTCTTATTAAACATTATAATTTTAATTTTAATTTTTAGATATTTTACATGTTATTTAATAAATATAGTAAATTAATTAAAAAATTATAAATTATTCATTAATATACCAATATCAATAAAACTAGTAGAACACAACTTATCTCGGTAATATTTTTATAAAAGATATGTGTTTTTTGAAAAAAAGAAAATGAGAATCGTTCCTTTTTTTCTTAGCCTTTTTTACTAAGAAAAAAATATTATTTTTTAAAGAATATATTATATTTGCTCAAAAAAATTTACTTGACGTATAAATATATTAAATTAATTATATTTTTTTGAATTATTTATTAATATAATAATATTAAAAAATTGTAGATCACAATTTAATTCGTTAATATTTTAAATAAAATTTTAAAAGATATGTATTTATTTGAACAACATAAAATAAGAAGTTTACCTTTTTTACCACAAAAAAAAACATCTCAAAAATAATATTTCATATTTATTTAAGAAATATTTTACTCTATATTATTTAATTTGCATGCAACTTAATAAGAAAAAGTCAAATAAATTAAATGTTTTTTAGATCATAGCAATGAAAAATGAAAATCACTAATAATAATCTGAAATATATTTTTATTTTTATTTTAGTTAAGTCATCAAAATGATGTGTCATCCACATCACATCACTAGAGTCATACAAGCAAAAAAAGTGAAGGGGTTAACCGGTTTAAAAGGTAACAAGTTACTCATTGCTATTATGGGTAGATTTTTTAAAGTACGATACCTTAATAAAAAATAATTTGAAAGTACATTGATGTAATAAAGAAAAACAAAAGTAGAATGCTATAATAAGAAAATTTATGAAAGTAAATTGCTATTTCATGCATTTAACTCTTACTCGTATTCTCATCTAGTCATAGCATCAACGAAATACGGGTAAGGAAATAAAATGCGCTAGAGGATTAACCATACTTTTTTGTTAGATCAGCAATCAAACACAAATCCATATTTCGAGAACATTAATAATAAAGTAAAATCAACCTTAACAACGACAAAAAAAAAAACCATATCGTAAATCAAATATCTCCAAAATTATATCTTAAAACTTATTCAATCGGTTATATATGAATGTTTGGTAGTAGTTCAATGATATAAAAATGGTTTATTCAATAAACTATTATAGAGAGTTTTATTTTTTAACATGTCACTCCCTGTTAAAAACATGTTTCTTTCATCTATAAAAAACTCTTCCAAATAAAAAAAAAACCAATCTATACAAACAGATTAATCCAAAAGACAACTTTATTTATACATGACTTCATGAGGAAAAAAATCAGACAACTTTTAGTCCAATAGTTATAAATCAAGTTGTTGAAAAACAGTTCAATCCCATATTGTCTCTCACTTAGTTACTTCGGGGCCGTTTACCCAAATGCTTAATCGGTGAGCGCTTATTGATATGAACCAACACTATCATTTATTTTGATGCGTAAGAATTTAGTACATCAAAACATATCGAATGCAACAATTTACTGGGTAAGAGTCAACATCCTCACTTACCGGATAAGAATATCCATTCCTTCTCGTCACTCTTACCCGGTAAGACTCTTGGCATTTCTCATGTTCATCCGATGAGCAAATTTATCTTACCAAGTAAGCGTTTAGTAAACGGCCTCTTAGGCCAACTTCAACTCACAACAGTGAACATCAAAAACATTAAAACTAGTGGGGCCTTTTAACATCAAAAATAAATTCAACTCCAAACACACAAAAAAACACCAAATTAATAGACATATATAAAATATATATTTCATTATTATTAATCCTTTTATGTATTAGTTGATGTTATTTAATTTTTAGTATTATATATTTTTAATTATTGTCAATTTTCTTTAATGCTATTTTTATTTTTTATTTATAATTTAATTTTGAGTATAAACTCAATTCAAAATAAATGTTAAAAGAATAAATAATATTTAAAAAATCTAAACAAGTAAAAGTAAAAAAAAAATAGAAGTGGACCAACCTATTTGTGGTGTCAAGAGGGTGACATCAAATTTAACATTTATTTCTTTCAACTTTTTCTAGCCGGCAAAACTTTTGATTATATGACGTGTGAAAAGCGTTTCATCACCGGTAAAAACCTAATTTTTGCCGTCTGTTTAGAGTTGGCCTTTAAGTCTTAAAAAGGAACGTGTGGAATACTCTTGTTTTTCAAGTTCTTTTCGTCATAAACAAATCATTTGATTTTATTTATTCGTCATCGAGGAGGGAGAGTGTAATAGTCTGGTTATTATTTTTGTTATGTATATATATTTATTTATAAATATATATATATATATATGTGATATATGTATATATGTTATGTATATATGTGTGTGTAGGAGTAATTAAATAAAGGAAGAAGGGAGAGGGGTCGGCTAAATAAGCCGCCTCTCAATTTCTTTGTGAGTGTATTTGAGCTTTGAATATGAATTGCTTTATACAAATTAAAAAGCATTTCAACTGATTATTATGTGTTTGGAGGCATTTTTAATGATGATATTTGTGTATACCGGCCAACTAGTGTCCGGATTGAAATCCGGATATTTAAACCGGATAAGCCTTGAGAGGTTTAT